ATACAGAGAGATGAGCAAAGGAGATCAGGGAAGGAGAAGCAAGAGGAAAAAGGGTGTGTTGGCGTGTGCGTAGAAACTACCAGGCAGGGTGCTAGGTGTAGTCGGCACTGCTTGAAGTGGGATTTTTTTTTTCCCCGACACAGCCGATGAAGGAAGTGGGGAGCGAGAAGAACAAACAATGTGAAAGTGTGAGAAATCCTGGGAACTGCAGTGAATGGATATCAACACCAGCCTCCCGCCAAGGAGAGTGTTTTCATTTACACGGGATTTCCAACCCAAAAGTTTTGATTTCAGCTCAGCGAAGAGTAAATCCCTCCCCTTTCTCTTAATCGGTCTTCCTTGTTAAACTTGTTGAGGCTTAAAAAGAAGCAGCTGACTAAAATTTTAGATATGTTGGGTGTTTAATCAACAGAAATAATAAATACAAAACCTGGAACATTCATGTAATAGAAGTAGAGACATTGCATTTGCGAAAATGCAGTGTGAATGCTTATTGCAGAAAAACTTGCTGAAAAATGGCTGAAATTTGCTAAAAACATGCTGAAATGGAAGAACAAGCCTAACTTAGCAGAAGAAAGCAGAAAGAAAACATATTTGCAGTATTAGGTTTAAATAAGCAGAAATTAGCTCAAATTAGGGAAATTAGCAAAAAAAAGGCTGAAATCAGCTAAAAAAAATTGCTGAAAAGTACCTGAAAAGGCAGAAAGAAGCTGAAACTACCAGAAGAAAACAGAAAGAACTGAAATGAGCACATAAAAAGTGGCATTAGTTGAAAAAGCTAAAATTAGCATCAAGAGTTAAATAGTAGCTGAAAGAGCAGAAAAGGCCGAAACTAGCAGAAATGAGCTGAAAGAAACACAAGCTGAAATTAGCCAAAATAAGTTAGAACAAAAATGTTGTAGTTAGCAGAAAGAATCTAAAATGATCACAAAACAGCTGAAAAAAGGTGAAATTAGCTGAAAGTTGCTGAATTAAAAAAAAAAAAAAAATGTATCAGAGAGCTGAAAGAAGCTGAACCAGAACAAAATGTGAAAGGAGCAGTAAAAGGTTGTAAACAGATCTAAAGACGTGAAGGATGTAAATTGAGCTCAATTCATTTTCTGAGGAGAAAAAAGTAACAGAAAAGGATAAATATTTCAAAAGGCTAAAGTTGCACCAGTACCAAAAGTCAAAGCATCTTTCTCCTGAATGAGCTGAACGTTATAGGATTTGTTGAAATAGCACAAAAATTATGGAATGAGAAACGTACGGAAGATAAGTGTCAATGCCTCATAAACATTCACACTATATACAGTATAACCTTTATCCACCATATTTAAAGCGTAATGAGTTAAATGTCTTTAATTAATCATTTATTTATTACTGAAGTGTAAAGACTGATACTTTGAAATTTGACTTTAAAAATTATTTCTGTATAGCTTTTGCATGAGCAATAATGTCTTTTTAGGCCTAATGTTGGCCCACACTACAAGTTGGATGAAATCTATACTACAGTAAACAAAGCTCTTCTGTCATATTTTCCATTATAAGAAAAGAGTCCACATTTAGGAGTATTAATCAAATTAAAAAGGCGTTACATTCATTCTACCTGCCAGTTATTGAGGAATATGGCTTAGAGTTTTAGAACCGTTCTGTCCCGTTGTTTTTAACTCTTACAAAAAGAGCAATTTTATCTTACAATAAATACTAATGACATAAGAAAATGTAATTTGTTGGTACGGTGTTTAGTAAATATTACCATTGGGTTGCTAAGCAGACTCAGTTTAAGAGGAAAAACACTTTCTTCAAATTAAAATATTTTCGGGCTTCAGTATACCCAAGTTATGGCTGAACAGCATACAAACTGTTACAAATATGTCTTTAAAAACTTAGCATGCAGTAAAAAATAATATTTTGGACAATATACTACATCCTAATTAATTTCTTACAAGCATGAGCACTTGCTTTTTATTTTTCACCTATTTGATTAGCCTATAGTTTATCAAAAATTCAAACTAAGATATACAGTGGGTATGGAAAGTATTCAGACCCCTTTAAAATTTTCACTATTTATTTCATTGCAGTCTTTTACTAAAATCAAAAAAGTTCATTTTATTTCTCATTAATGTACACTCAGCACCCCATCTTGACATAAAAAAAAACAACAGAAATGTAGAAATTTTTGCAAATTTATTAAAATTGAAAAAGTGAAATATCACATGGGAGTCAGTGCAGCCAGCCCCTTTCAGACCCTTTGACACTCATTTAATTCACAACATTTCCTTCTGATCCTCCTTGAGATGTTTCTACTCCTTAAATGGAGTCCAGCTGTGTTTAATTAAACTGGCTGGACTTGATTAGGACAGGCACACACCTGTCTACATGAGACTCGCAGCTCACAGTGCATGTCAGAGCATATGAGAATCATGAAGTCTAAGGAACTGCCCAAGGAGCTCAGAGGCAGAATTGTGGCAAGGCACAGATCTGGCCAAAGTTACAAAAGAATTTCTGCAGCACTCAATGTTCCTAAGAGCTCAGTGGCCTCCATAATCCTTAAATGGAAGAAGTTTGGGACGACCAGAACTCTTCCTAGACCTTGCCGTCCAGCCAAACTGAGCAATCGTGGGAGAAGAGCCTTGGTACTGTACTGGAACCGCGCTGGAGTTCGCTTCTACCGGACTGAGACCTAGGTTTTAGCCCGGGCCAGAGTTCGATGGCTCGTTCACACCTCCCTAAACGAACCGGACTTTCTAGGAAAACGAGCTAGAGTTCGATTAAAGTGGACTAAACAGGGCTGGTGTGAATGCACCCTAAATAACCTCCATAAATAAATGCAAAGTGCCCCTCCAGCTGTTTCTTATTCATATTTATTGACACAGCCTTTTTGAGATGTGTTGCTGCCTTAAATGGAAATTCACCCTATGGGTTCCCCATAAAATTGTACAATTTTCTAGCTTCAATATTTGATCTGTTTATTTGTTCCATTGTGAATAAAATATATTATGAGATTTGAAAATCATTGCCTTGTTTTTATTTAAATTTTACACGATGTCCCAACTTTTTCAGAACTGGGGTTGTACTTAATCCTTGTTCCATGTGTTATCTATTACTTCTGCTTTTTTTGGTTGTTGTTTTTGCCCTACTTTCGTCTGTGCCAACACCACCTCTGGCAATATATTAAGAAACACAGGCACTCATACACTTACAAACAGATCATAAATGGGTGCCAGAGTCCTTGCTTTTGGTTGGCATGAGTACAGCACTGTTGCTTCCACCACAGGCTATTTTCAAATCAAATCAGAAGAGGGGCTTAAGGGGCGTAAGCTTGAACCGGTTTCTATGAATGCCTGAAGCGGTTGCTTAGCTTACATAAAAACGATATCAATTTTGTATTAATTAAACATCAGGAGATTAAAACACTTACAAGTTGATGAGCGTGAAAAAGAAAATAAAAGTAAATGATGAGGCAGTATTTTGGTAAAATATAAAAACTCTGCTTGTACTGAAAACCTACCCAAGAGTACAAAAGCCTTAAGAAGTTTGGTGAACATGACTATTCTCATTATCAACCCACATGATATGAAACATCCTCTGAATGGTGCACACATTGTCTGCATGTCTCAATTACAGTCTGAATTTTTTTTACTTCAGAGACACATGCACGCACACACAAGACACACACACATGAACAAGTGAGTACAGTGTAATGCTTGCATGGGTATTACCTCACAGAACAGTCTGTAAGCAATCGCATGCAAAAATAAAGTTAGAACTATGTGAAGGAGTTATACTTAATAAATTTAGGTAACTATGAGAAGTCCAACTTTACAGAGGAGCTTTGCCCAGCTCATCCATTTCCACTAAACAGAACCTGCTGTGCGTGCATGTGTGTGTGTGCTTGGAGCGGCAGCAGAGCTCTCTCAAGTTACATCCACACAGGAAGGCTCAGAGCAATAACAAAGGCCTTTCAAAGAAACCCTCAGCAGGTTAAGATAAAATGTTTTCGCTCAAACTGATAAAAAGCATCTGTAGCCTAAATGAGCGGGCGCTGGTATCAGTGCTGCAGTACACGCAGCAGATCGGACTGCACAGATTAAAACAGACACCGGGTTGTCTCCCACGTGGAAGCAAACACAGGCCGAGTGCACGTGTTTGACTGGGCCGGTGCTGACAAAAACACCTGCACAGTTCCAGCACCATATATCCATGGCTGCCTGTAACGTCCACAGTGAGAAGCAGAAAACTGAAAGCATGTTATCAAACTGTTCTCAACTCTAGGCTCTCCATACGAGTCCATTTCAGCTGCAGGAGAGCCACTCTAAATCTGACTGTGCTCTGACAACTCTCCACTGCATTCATGCACACTGCAGGATTTACAACCAAACTGAAAACTATTTTCCAAATTCAAAAGAAAAGAGTAGGTGGGTGTGAAGTTAGAGGGCTAAAATTCATTAAAACTTGCAAGCTAATGCGTTGTGTGTAGTAAATAAAGGCCTCTAAAAGGTCACAATTAAGCAAAATGTGCACAATTTAGGGTACATTTCAAAACAATAAGTAAAAAGGCTTAAAGGGGAGTATATGCATGTGCATATTGTCTTTTTCTAAAGTGGTGTATTCTGCTTCTTTTTTAATTATTATGTATGTGGGTCTTTTTTTCCTGTATAATTAAAACATGCTACTGGATGCCTCAAATTTATGCCATGGGAGAGAGGGAGGGATGGATGGATGAATGGAGAGAGAGAGCACGATGGAGAGAGAAAGATACAGAAAGAAAAATATGTCCGTCCGTCCGTCCGTCCAATGGACAGCTTTGTAAAATTGTAATTCCGTAGGTTTGTCTATTCTTAACAGTGATGTAACTATAATCAAACTGTTGCAACAAACAAGTGAGTGCAGTTTTTATTATAGTAATAATTAGAATAATACAAAATAATGAATTGAGTTAGACAGTATTAAAATGTCTATTTGAAATTATACACCAGACGTCTTGTAGACCTTTGTGACATATCTTTGCATCTTACCTGGAAGCCCTGGATGTGAGCCAGGTAATCCAGCTGCTGTGCTGGCTGCACTGAGACTCCCATGTTCTTGCCCTTTATGGGTGGCGAGGCGTCGGCTGGGGGGGACTGAGGCGCCTGACCGTTAAGCAGCAGCTCTCTGGCCATAGTAGCAGTCGGGCTGGGTGATGAAGGTGAGCCGCTGTAGTACGGAGAATGTCCTGGGGGTACTGGGGCAGAGCAGGGCCCAATATCTTTGGATGTTACGTAGTTGATAGAGCCTCCACTGCTGCCACCAGAGCCCGGTGAACTGCCACTCTGCTTTCTACTGGCCTCCATCTCCTGATAGACGTCGGGGCTGAGGTGGAGGAGACCCTTCTGGGCTGGAGGGGTCACAGAAGAATGGAAGGTGTTGGATAAACAGCAGGAAAAAGGGTAAAAAATAAAGAAGCATGAATCAATAAACTGAAAGTGAAAAGAAGTGATTTAACTAAAAGGAAGAAACAATGCAAAGGTACAAAATACTGAATAAAAGGAAGTATGGAAGCACCAATCAATTAATTGGTGGACAGAATTGAACAATTTTTAGCGTGACCAGATGGTCAGACTGGTCACTGGTCAATTTTAATGTGCCTTAATTTTACCATCTGGCATCCCCAACCAGAATGTCAGACATGGGTTTTGAGAATATATTTTTTACTGCAGATAAAAAATATTGTGTTGAAATCACGTGTAAAAAGATTTCCTGGTCAATTACTTCTAGACAATGCCCCCCGTGTGTGTGTGTGTGTGTGTGTGTGTGTGTGTGTGTGTGTGTGTGTGCTCCCAAACTGTGCTCGTCTTCCCATCCTGACAATATCTGTTCAAGCTTGAGCACTAATAAAATCAAGTCTTCCGAGAGTCTGCTGGAACTCACACAGCCTCTTGCTTTCTCCTCCGAAACACAAACACAGAAATACAAACGAAGCATCCACCAATATCAACAGAGTGTCTATGACTTCATCTTTGATGGGAAACAGCAGCATCAGCTAACCAGCATCCTGTTCCACTTACACTGGTTGTTTCATTGGAGACTATTTTAGCATCTAATAAGAAAGTTCAGAGACAGATAATTTTAAGAAACCGAAGCAATGTTATTGTGTAAGCTTGTTTTAAGCATTCACACTATTGTGATCCTGTTTATATTTATTATTCCAGGTTGTTTAAAATAGTATGTACGTTTTTTCAGCATCTTTCTCGTACCACAATTTTTGTGCTATTTAAACAAATATATCAAAACATTCAGCTCTTTCAGGACAATCCTGCTATGACTTTTGGTATTGGTGCAAGTTTAGCCTCTAGAAATATTTAGCCTTTTCTGACACTTTTTTCCTCAGAAAATTAATTGAGCTCATTTTACATCCTTCATATCTTTTGATCTGTTTACAACCTTTTACTACTCCTTTAACATTTTGTTCTGGTTCAGCTTCCTTCTGCAAATTAAAAAAATCAGCTCCTTTCAGCTGTTTTGAGCACCTTTCTGCTTTACTCTGTTAACTACAATGTTTTTGTGCTTCTTCTAACTTATTTCTGCTCATTTCAGCTTGTTATGCTCCTTTCAGCTTATTTCTGCAAGTTTTAACTATGTCTGCTATTTCAGCTATCATTTACCTGTGTTTATGCTAATTTGAGCTTTTTCAGCTAATTCCACATTTTTTGCACTCATTTTAACTTTTTTCAGCCTCATTCAGCAAAAAATTGCTTCATTCTGGTAATTTAAGCTTCTTTCAGTTTTTTTAGCTACTACTCAGCTGTTGTTTTTCCAGATAATTTCCACTTTTTGGTGCTCATTTCTGCTTCTTTCAGCCTAATTGGGCACAATTGTGCTGTCTCCATTTCCTTCTGGTAACATGAGCTTATTTCTGCCTTTTCAGCTACTTTTCAGCAATTTTTATTTTTTTTTTTTGCTAATTTCATCTTTTCTTTTTTTTAGCAAATTTACTAATTTATTTTATGTCTAAACTGAACAATTGCAATGTTTTTTTCTTAAAATCTGGGTGTCCAAAAACTTCTTTAAAAGTCTTCAGTTAATTCAAAATGCTGCTGCCCGAGTGGAGTTAGAAGGAGAAATCATATCACTCCAGTTTTAGTTTCTCTACATTGGTTTCCTGTCAAATCCAGAATTGAATTCAAAATCTTACTTATAACCTACAAAGTTCTCAACAACCTAGCTCCATCTTATATTACAGATCTTATTGCTCCATATTTTCCTAACAGAGCATTTCGCTTTCAGACAGCAGGCTTACTCGCGGTTCCTAGAGTTTCCAAAAGCAGAACGGGAGGAAGCTCTTCCAGTTATCAGGGTCCTCTCTTGTAGAACCAACTTCCAGTTTCTGTCCATGAGGCTGACACATTGTCCAGTTTTAAGACTGGGCTTAAGACTTTCCTTTTTGATAAATCCTGTAGTTAGGGTCAGCTTGTTATGCTGCCTTAAACTTAGACCACTAAAGGACAAATTTACCTTATTTCCTTAAATGATTTGGTAAAATTTAATAGTTTTCATTTGATAATATTTCTATCTTAACATGTGATTCTTGACCTGCCATTGTGTATCTATTCCTATGAAACCCAGCCGGTCAAAGCAGATGGCTGCTTGTCCTGAGCCTGATTTTGCTAAAGGTTTCTTCCTCATGAGGGAGTTTTTCCTTTCCACTGTCACCTTCACGCTTGCTCAAGATGAGAGTTCTGTGATAGAGTTAAACTCGAGCAGAAAAACAGTGTTAAATTACTATTTTTATATATGAATGTTTCTGTTCAGTGCCCTGAGATGACTTCTGTTGTGACTTGGCACTATATAAATAAACTGAATTGAATTGTGTGCTCATGTCTGCTTATTTAAGCCAAATTCAGCAAATATTTGTTCTTTCTGCTTTCTTCTGCTAACTTAGGCTTGTTCTTCAATTTCAGCTACATTTCAGCATGTGTTTAGCTAATTTCAGCTGTTTTTCGGCAAGTTCTTCAGCAATAAGCATTCACACTGTATTTTCGCAGGAAATGCAATTTCTCTAGTTTTAAATAAGATGCAACTCAGTCCAAACATGCAGGAGTTAAGCAAAACAGCACATCAAGATTATGTCCTGTTTCACACAATTGGAGACTGTTATGTTGGCTACTTAGACTTTGACATAACTAATGTAGCTGAAATAGACCAGAAAAAGACACAACGAGTTCAATAGTTTAAACAACGCTGAGTTGGACAAAAGACACGAAGCACACCAGAAGAGGGAGAACATGCAGAAATGAGAAGGGCGAGAAAAGATTAAAGACGAGAGTGAGCTGGGAGCCAGTTACGATGGAAGAGAATGTGAGGATGAGTGGATAGCAAACCCATGAGGAACCTCCGAGCCCAGTCAAGGTCACCAGAGACAGGAAGACCAGCTGCGTTTGTGTCTTTGTGTATGTCTGAGGTCTTGTTTGTGTGTGCAGACGGATTAACAGCTGGGAGAAAGTGGTGTGGAGTGAGCACATGACTGACAGTCTACTTCCTGTTTCAGTTAATTTTACCATTAAACACAAAGTCAGAGAGGGTTGCACACTTGTAGCTACCTCTAGTCTAAGGTTCTGGGAACCCAGCTGGCAGCATTTCCCTTTTAAAAACAAAACAAAAACAAAAAAAACAAGTTTGTGCCTTTTCCAAAGGAAAAGAAAAGCTGAAGGAAACAGCAATGAAATCCTAGGCTTATTACTCGTTCTACAACAAACTTCCCACTGCCAACAGTGACACAAACTAGAGGATTTTCTCCAACCTTCCATTGATGATGACAACTATAATTTGAATTGACACATATAAAACTTGCAGGCCTGCAAATTTTGAATGTTGCACCGTAAAAAAAAGAGCTGTAATCCAGCATGACATCAGCAGTGAATAAAAACTAAACGGGGAGTCAGTCAGCGTGCATGTGAGGATGCCTGCATGTGATTGAGTACTCGAGTGTCGGATGGTGAGCGTGAGAAGCAGCAAGCATGAGTGAGACAAAGAAGGGGAGCCAGAGAAAGTGAATAAGCAAAAGTGACCGAGTGTATTTCTCTATGATGTTGGTTGTGAAATTGTGTATGTGAAGTGAAAGGGGGCAGGAGAGAAGGAAGGCTGTGAAGAAGGGGGGAGTATAAAAAATAAAACGGCAATGGAGAGCTGTGTTTGTGGTGCTGGTTCCAGGCAGTTGCTGAGGGGTCCCAGACTCGGTGTCCGGTGGGCCAGGGGGAGCCAGAGCCAAGCATGAGACTGATCGAAAACAGATAGGGCCGGAGCCCACCACTATAAATCACCAGTGTGGAGCAAGACCTTTACATAGTTCACACATGCACACAATGCACAGACACACACATATATATAAGCAGCAGGAAATGAATTGTGGCAACTCAAGTGAAAAGCCCTGCTGCAATCCCCATGGGAATAAAAGGGAGAAAAATCGCTCTTCGAACTTCTTTTTTTCCCCCTTTTCTTTTTACACTCCCTTCCTGTCTCTAAGCCACCCTGTTTGTTGTAGCAGCGTCTTCGACTGCTTACACAGAGCAAAGAACACACACACGAAGTTTGGAACGAAGGCTGTGCGTGACTAAGATATGTGTGTGTGCTTTGTTTGCAAAAGAAAGAAGATATAGCAATAAATGAACAGCCCTTGACACTTTCATCCACTTTTTTTTCCCACTAATGCAAAAATGAACTGTTGAAAAGAGTTAGCAAATGACAGAAATGTAGACGTTGAAGGTTTTTATGATAACTTGGATAAATAAATGGTACAATAATATAAATATAAAATCCAGACTACCTTGGATGTCAATACAGACGCTGTTAAAGGAGCAAAACCCCATGAAATGAGCACAGAGCTTTATATTACAGAAGAACACGACTAATTCTTAAACAAGAACACTGGTTTTATTTTAAATATACAATTGATGCTAGGGTTATTTGCAGCCTTATTACTGCTAGGCTTGTGAGCGTTGCTGGTCAATTTACTACTTGTAAGTTGGATGGTACTAATAATATATACAAGTGCAGACGTTTTAAACAGTAGCCCATCACAGGCAATGTTATAAGCATGCATAATTAGTTATTAACCTTTAACAAACCACTTTGCCTTGACATAAAACAATAAAATTGTGAAATTTAAAATAAATAAAAAACTATATCCTTCAGGATATACTGATTCAAAGTTAGCGTCTGTTTTGAAGATGAAAATTTAATTTGTTGCCATAACTTTGCTTTTTGCAGTACTGATTCGGTCTGCACTTCAGGGTATAATAAACGATAAAAGGCATAAAAGAACTGCTTTGATTTTTAAAAGGCTTCTGTGGGAAAATATGACCTACTCCATGATCGTTGGCTTCAACATCCAGATTTATC